GATGAGAGTATTTATAAAAAATAAAATCTAAAGGCAATTGTAAGAAAAATACAAAGTTAATTAACTTTAAGTCAAGACAAAGAAGTTTTACTTTTTTTTAAATAATTGAGAGATATCTAGATATATATATAACTTATTTTTAAATAAGTGTTAAAATATTTATTATTAAATAAATATTCACATGTATTAATTATTTACCTTAAATTTTTCTCATCCCTTATATGTATCCTCAAAGAATCTTCTATCCGAAAACATTTTAAACAAATGGTAAATTAGGAACCAATGGTTTATCATCATAATCAGAAACTTATTATGACGTGTACTGGACTTGGTCAGCATTCTATTGTTCACTAACAAAATATCTCAACTAAAACTCATTTTCTCAGTCAAACTTTGACTGATTTTCATACATTACTTACATTTAACAATTAAATAGCACCCATTCCTTTGCTTCATCATTCACCATAAACCCTCCTCTCACTAAGCTTTTGCCATTTCAATTCTCTGTCCCAACAAATCAGTTTAAAGTTCAAAACTTAGTTGCCATTTCAATAGTTAGATAGAGTAAAATGGAAAGTGAAAAGAGTTGGGAGCAGAAAGCTCTCGTGAGTGAGCTAATTCAGGGGTTGCAGATAGCAATAAAGTTGAAGGAAAACTTCAATATACCCTCTTCGATTCACGCTAGGGACTCACTACTGCAGAGTATATTGTCTTCTTACGACAAGGCTTTGCTTATTCTGAAACAAAATGCACCATTTTCAAATTCAGAAACCATGCATCAACCAACTCAAACTTCCTCACCACAGTTTCCTCCCAAAGATCACTACGAAGGTGCCCTCAAGGATCATCAAAAACTTAAACAAAATTCAAAGAAAAGGTACAAATTTTAGCAGCACAAGACAATCCCTTCTAACGTAGGTTTGTTATTTCTATTTGTTCTAACACTGGTGGGAATTTCGCTGCAGAAAGAAGATGCCCAAATGGACGGAACAGGTTAGAGTGAAGATCCAGAATGGGGTTGAAGAACCTCTGCAAGATAATTACAGCTGGAGAAAATATGGACAGAAAAACATCCTCAATGCAAAATATCCCAGGTGAAATTTTTTTAAATTTGTCTCTAAGAAATTCATTGGTCACTGATCAAACAATTAACAACGGATTGTTACATTTGCAGAAGCTACTACAGGTGCACATTCCAAAAATCTAAGGGCTGCTTCGCCACCAAGCAAGTGCAGAGATCAGAAGAAGACCCCAATGTCTTTGACATAAGTTACCGAGGAAGCCACGTCTGTTCTCAGGGAAACGATGCCGTTCTGTCATTAAAGTTAGCAGACACAGAAGAGAAATCGCAAGGTTGTGACAGTGACGTTCATCATGCACAGTCATCGCGAGAAAGAGTTACAAACTACACAAACACGTTGACTGTGGAAACGGATAACATGACGCCACATCCATTCCCTTCGTTTGGATGCATGCCACAAGATAACCACCACACGTTTCTTCCTTCCTTCGTACTGGAGAATGATACCTTTTGCAGCACCGTTTCCCAAACATCCTTCTTCTCTCCGAACACACCTGAATCAAATTATCTTGTGTCTCCGTCTTTCCATTTACATGATGAACTCGACAGGGTCTTTGACAAGCCGTGCCCTGATTCTGATGCTGCCGGGAACGTTTTAGCTGATGCATCAACCATCAATTCTCCAAATTTTGACTTCAATTTCTCACTCGATGCAGTGGGAATTGGTGCAAATTGCCCTTCAATGCCTGGGGGTTTTCATCCTAAGTGCACTTGAGAAAATTAATTTCATAGTGTTTGTCGAAATTATTGTTAGCATTTGAAGAAACGAAAAAACGACAGTACGATGATGCATTAGAATCCAGACAGCACTAATAAACGCCGGTGTTTTTTTGTTCATGTTAATGTTCAAAGAAGCGACCTTCTAGTGTGAAAGGGACTGCCGAAAATGTTGGGACCAACCTTCTCTATCAAAAGATTGTTTTCAAAGTGAATTGGTGATTTTCTATTAAATTATTAACAAGTTATTGATGACGAATTTCTTCAAAAAAACACTTTTTTAGGACTCAAAAATTCATTTTAAGCTGACTTCAGCTAACATCGTCTGAATTCTGAAACACCCAGTAGACTAACTCACGGACAGTCGCATTATTCGCTATAATGCATGTTACAGAATCGGCGATGACCCAGACAAATCCAAGGCTTACCGTTGAGGGTTAAGAAGGTACTTTCCTTCTCTAATTTACTTTGTCATTTTAAAAATGTGTCTCAAATTTAGAATATATCTTTAATAATAATACTCACAGTAAATAAATAAATTATTAATTTTAGTAAACAAAAATGATTATATCATGAATTAATATAATGAATTTGTTTTCATAAAACATGTGTATTATTTACCTTAAAAGACAAATAATTTAAGTAACAACAGGTTCACAGAGGAAGCAGCCAAGTAATAATTGACATTTCAGATATTCTTCCACACATGTTTCTGTAGTCAAGCTTTCCCATGATTGAGTCGCAGGAACTTTGTGTTTATGGGCCCAAAAAAACGATGGGTGTAGGCCTGGGTAATGTGAGGCCCAAATGACTGCAATTGGAGTAACATCTCTCTTGGGTTGAGCTTTCTGAACATCCGGTGACCAAAGACGGAGCTTAAATTCCACAGCCCTTAACTTAGTCTAAATTTTATAAAGAATGTTTTAACATTCTGTTGCATTCGATCTAAAGGGACGATAAAAAGAAATCGATAGATCCTTTTGATCAACAATTAACAAGTGTTTTTACACCACTGCATTAAGGAAAATTTTATCTGTAGCTACTAGAAAGCAATAATAATGTGATTTGTACAAAAAGCATGATAATTAGTTGAAAGATCTTTCATCTAACAGGATAAATGTCGTCCACCTAAATTACAACAGAAATATTTAATAGTTACTTCTGAGTGTGCCAAAAACAAAAACAAAAAATGGGAACCCATGTCACCTGCTACTTCACAAACTGAATGCGGTTTAAATTATCGATCGCCGTTCAAAAGTAGACTGGGCATTTTAATCTTCTCTACAGAACAAAAATTTGAAATTCATTTTCACGTAAAACGGATGCGTTTAACTGCTCTAGTGGCTACGAAGTGGGTTCAAATGCAGCTTGCTGATGCCAAACGCCATTGAGATTAGACTGCCATAATCGGACCATTCCATCTTGCCCTGTAGTAGCCAACGTCATTCCACTCATATCCCATTCCATTTGCCACACCTAAGTAACATATGACAGTAAGCAACAGATTGTCGTATAAACCCATCAGAAGCTATGTTCAACATCCACATCATCTCTTAAATACAAATTGAAGAGTAGAAGGGGACATATAAAATAAAGACAAATTTAAAGTCATTCATATACCATGCCCTGGTGACCTGACAGTAGTGCAACTCGCTCTACCGGGAGTCTTCCATCATGGTCAGGGTTCAATCCAAGATGCCATATTGCAAGTCCTTTGTGAGTTGCAACCGCTATGATCTCATACGGTCTACATAAGAATCATACCAATTACTGATATATGCAAATAATTATATAACAGAAAAGGATCTTTCACATTTCTTTGACAACCCAAAGACAAAGGTGGTAGATAGAAACAAGCACAGCCCGAGCCTAGTAGAATAACAAACATCCTCGTGTTAGTTGACTACACGAGATCATGACTATCAACCTATCCAAACAGTTGTTGTCAATCAGGTTGTACGAAGAAGTCCCAGCCAATAAATGTAACTAACATTTTTCTAAACTTTTGCACATATTACCTGCCAATATTTGGTGCCCATGCAACAGCATAAACCTGATCACCCTTGTCTTCAGGCAGTGCCAATTCTGCTACCGGAAGCCATCTTTGATGAGCCTGATCAAATTCCCATACCTGAGGAAAATAAACATCTCAAGTCAAAGACATAATCCTCCCCCAAAACCTAATAGAAGAAAGATGTGGAATGTGCTTCTGCTGCAATACTGAACTCTTGCCCATTGTCACAGGCTCACAGTTTGCATCTATTGCAAGGTTATCCACAGTTCAGAAAAGTGGAGACGAAAATTCTAGAGTGCAATAATCATACCATGAAAAAATATAGATAACAGAACTGAAATCAATAAAATAACAGGGCGGAATTCTAGACTAGAGTTACCTTGGAAGAATTAAGCTCTGATGTATTTGAATTAAAACCTACAAGGAAGCTTGATTCCTGGCTTCCACCCTTTTGTAGATTCCAAGATATGGATGCAGAGAGGCACGAAGCCTTTCCAAATGCAGACACCGACTCGATAACATTTTGAAATTCAGCCTAAAATGTGAGACGAAAATAAGAAAAAGAATATTTAGTACCTCATTTTGTTACTGTGAGGAAAGGTATAATTATATTTGAATATTTAGTTTCACCTGAAGCTGCCAGTTTCTCAGTTCTAAGGGGTTCAAGAGCTCAAAAACTCTTATATTGCCATCTGAATATGCTGCAACCTAAAATGTTAATAGAATAATAATAATTAATCAATGAAAAAATAATTACTAAACTAGCTATGACATGCGTAAGGGATTTTATGTTAAATAATAATGTACGCACAATGTAGTCAGCAGAAATAGATAAAAGCATAGTTCCAAAATAAATATCAATGACATTGTACTAGCCATATAACTAACCATTTTCAAACTAGTCGAAGAGATCCCGAATTGAACATCAAGGACTTTGCTTGAACTGTCTCCAAAGCTTTTGCACATCTTCCACTGAAGAGACTGCGAATCTACATATCGACTTTCAGAATTTCAAAATTAACCGAACAAGATTCCACAAAGTAACACATTGAATGAAAAAAACCTGTTGACGAAAACTAAAAATCTGGATTTAAAACTAAGTCGTAAGGAATATGCAAAACTACCCACTAGACAATAAACACAGCATGCCGTAAAAAATTCCAACCAGATCCTATTTTCCAACCAGATCCTATTTTCCAACAAGAAATTTAATAGTTAGTGCTCAACTTGGTTCCAAAGCTTAAGCCATTGAATGCTTGCCATGAGAAGCACATTGATTCAACTCTAACAAAAAACCAATCAATGATACCTTCTGCAACCTCCTCCCACAATGACACAATTCCATGGGCGGAAATACACGCGACTGCATCACCGTACTCTGGCGGAACCCAAACAATCTTCACGATCTTTCCTTCGAGAACCTTTAGAAACCACAGAGAGAACAATGAGGAATGACCATGTTAAAGTGAACAATTATCCTACAAAGTCTGTTTGTAAATAACAATAATATATAACAACATATACTCATAAAACTCACGATTTATTAATTCATTAGCGTTTTAGTAAAACTTAATCTAGTCCGAAATACAGATTGAATAAGAGTAAAAGGAAAAATAGGAAAGAAAATAGAAGACGAACCCTAGATTTGAAAGTAGAGCGGAGGGAGGAAGAAGAAGATGGATCGCGGGAATCGAAGATTGAAAGTGTGCCATCAGCGGAAGCAGCAGCGAGTCTGGTACCGGAAAGGTTCCAAGATGTGCAGGTGGTCGCATTATCAAGAGTCAAAATTTCCTTCGCCATGTTTCTTTCACTGAAGAAAGGTGATCTGAAACTGCCCAAACCTAAAAACCTGTTTCTGGGGTTTTAGAAGTAAATAAAGTATAATACCGAGTATTTCTTTTCCCCCATTAAGGTTGTAATCTCACATGTTTTAATTTTTAATAGATTTAAATTTTTTTTCTTAGTTTTAAATAAAAATTATATTTTATTAAGTTTATTTTGCATCATAACATTTAATTTTTTTATCTTATTTCACCCTTTTTTTTATGTTAGTTGAGAAATAGTTTGAAAATTCAAATAAATTTAATAAAATTTAATTAAAAAGAGATGTTAAGGAGTTGATTTTAAATTTGATTCAATCTCACAAAATAAGTGTAAAGTGATATTTGCATTCACTTGTATATTATAAATTTATCTTATTTTTAGTTAATACGAAACTTTTAATATAATATCGAATGTGAGACTAAATACTAATGTGTATTCTGATAGTAACTCGATAACGAGTGAATTAATATAGTCACACAACTATCGTTATGATAAACTTTAATCTTTAATATTAGGTTAAGAAATTGATTTTAAGTCTAACTTTACGTGATTATAAAAATGAGAGATTAAATTAATCTAAAATTTGAAAGTAAACTAGTTTTATTTTCACTTTTAAAATTAAGAAGAAAAGAAAACATTTTTAATCCATTTTTATTTTATTTAGTTTTCACTCGTTCTTGTACGCAGAGACTAAAAAACATATAGGCTAAATACTATTTTTTATTTATAATCTTGTTATCTTTCAGTGTCATCTTTACATATTTTAAAGAAAAGTAAAAAACAATCTTTCTACTATAATTGTTGTTTGAAATTTCTCTATTTTTTATTTATTTATTTATGATTCGTAGTATCAACGTAATATGCACCAAGGCAGTCAATTAAATAGAAGTAAATATAATTTATTTTGTGGAATTCAATGATAATGTTAGTATGGTGATAAGCGACACGAGTAATAAATAAGATGTCCTTAATTAAAGTTGACTAATTGACTTGACATGAATAAGGAATGTTAGTATAATTGCTGTAATGGTATGATATATCAATATGTTAGAAATGACCGATACTTAATTTGGTAAACAAAAAGGATTGAGCACACTGAAAATGTTTAAACAGTAAAACAAAATTAAGAAAAAATAATCATGATAATGAGACAAAAAGTTATTAAACTTAGCTTAAATATATATTTAAAACAAGATACTATTTTTTTTTATTGTATACTGTGAAGGGATGAAAGGAAAATACTCTGTATAATATAATAAAGAAAATAATGAAGCAAAAGAAGTTAAAGCATGTTCCTCTAACACAACATGAATCATGTGAGCTCATTCAAGTCTAAAGAGACGAGACAAACAATGCAAACCAACCAAATAAATGGTTGTATAAGTAAGAAAAAAATTATAAAAAAAATAGTCCATATGATGCATGTATATATATTTATATTGATGAATTTATTTTTAAAACAAGATTTAAATAATGACATTTTTCACGTTTTAAATTAAAATAATATTTAATCACATTCACAAACTTTTTCTTTTATAATATACACCTATTTCATAAAACTTTTAAAAACTTCATGTTTAAAAAATTAACGTGAAAATGTTTTACATTTTCAAAAACCTGAACGTTATTTAATCATTTTGGTTTGAGTAAACCAAATAATGGAAATTAATCAAAATAATTTTTTTTCTTCCATATTCCTTATTTTCATTTTTTTTTCTTTATAATTGTTATGTTTTAATAGATACAGTTATTATAAGTTAGAGTTAATAAATATATAAGTTAATTAAATTAATATATACAAGAAAAATTATAAAAATGATAAGAAGTAATTAAATGTTAACAATATAACTTACATATATAATAAAAAAATGAATTAGTTTTATATAAAATATTTTTTGCAGATGGTCCCACATGAATGTTGCCAGGTAGTCACTGCAACTCAATTTATAACGAACCTACTCTCAATAATCACCATGTGTTACCCAAGCACTCTATCATGGCCATCCCTGTCCCACTTAATTAATTCAAAATATATGTAATATTAACTAATATTTTTACATATCTTACTTTCTCGTTTTCTCACATTTTTTAAATTGTGTACAAACATTATACAAAGTAAATTAAAAAATATAGTGAAAATTAAAAGTATTTAGTCATTTAATTTAAAAACAAAAAAATAACGTAGATTATTGTAAAAAGTAATTTATTCTTAACCTTATTAGAAAAATAAAAATATTCTTATAACATTTATATTTTCTGATTCCATAGCAATAATGACTATCCCATAGCAGAGCCGTGTTGAGCAATCAATAGAAGAGTCTTTCTTGTTTTCAAATTTCCATAATTTATTCATCTGTTGTCCTATTCACACCCAAGAAAAATAAATAAAAAATTGATTTATTATTTTACCATTTCTACGAATTTTAATACATCGCAGCATAGAGTTTCTCTTTGAAAATCCAAAGCTCCACGACTGTGACATATTTAAGACACATATTATAACAATAATATTCGTTGAATGTCGACCTCGAGTTGTCCTTTGCTATCTAACTTTGTGGACCCTTTGTAAAAAAATTGATGCTAACATGACATTATTTATTGTATGTTAAAGGTACATCTATCTATTTTATAATAACATACGAGTGTAAACTTTTAAAAATACAGTTAAATTTTGTCTCGTCTTTTTTTTAATGGAAAAAAATTACATATTTGATATTATTCTCTAATTATTGTACAATACATTTAATGAAATATAAATTAAAATAAAAGTTCAAACTTAAATAGAAAACAACATATATTATATGTCAATTTTTTTATCTCTCTTGTAACAATGAATTTGATATAAAAATGAAGGTGGAGCATAATTATCCTTTTACAAAATATCGTTAATTTATCTATAGGCCGTCAATGGTTCAGAGTTGAAACATTAAATACAAACAAAACATCAAACATCCTAATTCAAACAAAAATTTGCTCGCCAACGTTGCAACAGAAAATTCCACATTGATACATTAAAACAAGTACAATACGACGCCATATTAAGGTTAATTAACATTAAAACAAGTACAATACAACGCCATATTAAGGTTAATTAACATTAAAACAAGTATAATACGACGACATATTAAGGATAATTAACAAAAACAGCTTAACCACTGACATTGACATTCGGTTGAATCAATTCTGAAAATAATCAAATTCCTAGCCAAATAAAAAAATTAAATAAGATCTAAAACAAAGCGATTTGTGGTTATTAACCTTTCCGAAGATGACCTTCTGACGAGGGAAGAGATCTCCGGCGAGGGTGCACCGATCTCAAACTCTGGAACTTCGGGGATGGTGGAGAGAACGGGTCCAGACTTATCATAAACCACGTAGAAGCGCTCTTTGGAGTATTTCTCTGGCACATGGAAACTGAAACTGGTGGTGGTGGTGGTTTTATTGTTGGACTTGAAAACGGAGCGAATGAGTTTTTGAAAGGAGCGAGAGAAGTTGAAGAACTTCCGTGGCATGGCGATGGAAGGTGGAGGAGGCTGAACCGGAAGCGCGTGAAGTGAACGCTCCGGTAAGTGAGGCATGGAAAGGGTTCTAGTTAAAGGGGATTTAGCTATGGCGGAGTGGAGTTGACGATTGAAGGAGTTGAGCTCAAATGAATCGTAGAGCGTGCTGCCACAGTCCCAAAGATTGGTAGAATACGAGGATGACTTTGTCGCTAAAAGTTTCTCCGTAATGGTTACCTTGTTTCTTGTTTGAGCCATGTCAAGAATCCTATGAGTCTGTCTGTGCTGTCTTTATTTTATGAGCAAAACTCACATTAAATTGAATCAGTGAGAGAATGACGTTAAGTTTAATCGTTTTCTGCTTTTTATAGATGAAAGATATGAAACGCGGTAGTCATGAGTTGTGACCAGGAAAACGGTTACCCTCCTTCTAAGGTTTAACTTCCGCCATATATGGACCATGTAATGTTGCTTTAGTTCCTTTGACTATGTTGCTTGCATTATTCTTCCGTGGTTATGAGTGGATGATAAATGATATTAATCAGCAATTTTTAACAATAATTTAAGAGTCAAAATAATATATTAAAGTAAAGTATAATTTTGATGTGTAATTTCTATATAAAGTTATTAAATTACATTAGTAAGTATATATAATATACTTAAAGAACAAGCGAGTTGAACATTGAATACATTACATTTATTAATAAATGTTCACAATATTGTTATAAAACTGAACGCGATAGGCCGTTGGGTTGTTCTTTGCTTAACGAAACTGTCACCAAAACTAAAATAAATAAATTTTAAAAAAATATGTTACGTGTACGCGCACATGAATATATATATATATATATATATATATATATA